AATATTACCCCTGGTGACTTACTTGCAAAATTTTTGCTTCCCGTCACCTCGACCCTATGCTCTGCAGGTCTAGAGGTCTTAGTTCCAAAGGGAGAAATGCTCTCACCTGGAGATACAACACAGATTCCACTGAACTGAAAGTTAAGAATGCCACTCGGCCACTTTGGGCTCTTCATGCCTCTGAATCAACAGGCAAAGAAGGGAGTTACTATCTTGGCTGGCATGATTGATCCTGACTACCAAGGGGAGATCGGATTGGTGTTGCAAAATGGAGGCAGAGAAGATTATGTCTGGAAGATTATCCCTTAGGGCATCTCTCAGTAGTACCATGCCCTTTGATTAAAGTCAGTGAAAAACTACAGCAACCCAATTCTGAAATGACTAATAATGGCCCAGACCCTTCAGAATGAAGGTTTGGATCACCCACCAGGCAAAGAACCACAACCAGCTGAGGTGCTAGCTGAGGGTAAAGGGAATATGGAAGGGTGGTGGAAGAAGGTAGTTCTAAATACCAGTTGCGACCATGTGACCAATTGCAGAAACGTGGACTGTAATTGTTACGAATATTTCTTTCTTGTATCTGTGCATCAGATATTTTTGTTCTCTTCACTTATAAGATGTAAAGGGGGACCATGCATTTTCAGTTGTATGCATGTTAGTTTTATCACGTTAGGTGCAAGTAAGACTTTGTAATTGTCTTTCTTTAGAGATTGTATGTGGTTTAAGGAGATGTGTGCAGGTGCCAAGTTGACTAAGGGTAGACTGTGATAGTTAAGGACTTGGCTGGGCCATGATTCTCAGTGGGTTGGCAATTATGTAATGATATAGTTTGGCAGTTATGTAATGATGTAATTTAGCACTTACATAATGATGTAGTCATCCTCCATGATGTGCCTGAGCCTTTGTTCTCTGTAACTTGAAAGCCCTACAAGGATTCTCCCTGGGAGGTGCTGACTAGAGGGATCACAGTGGTTTAGAGGAGTTCTCAGGCTGTGCACACAAGAGCAAGATCCTCGTAAATGAACAGTGCACACACAGATTTAGATATTTACCCATTTTAGGTTTTAGCTATAGATTGAGGTCAGAACGTCTCTGTTTTCTGTACACTCCCCTTTAGCTCTTGCTGCTTTACTCACCTTTTTCATTTATTCATTTATATATTCATTTTCTTCATCCTGTAGCTATCTCCTAAGCCTCAGATGTGTGCCAGATCTATGCTAGCCACTGGGGATACAGAGAAGAGTCCCACATGTTCCAGCACCCCAGGAGTTTGCAAACTAGTCTCCCCACCACCTCAGTTGCAGTCAGCACCCTGTACTCACTCAAGCCTATTCTGTACATTCTCTTCACTTCTGCTCCCACTTAGCCTCCACTCGCATCTCTCCAGCCATCTTGCTGTACCCAGCATCTGAATTTTCTTAGAGTGTATACTCACCTTCTAGTGGTAGAGTATACAACACAGACCAGATCTTTCCTTATTCTACCTCAGCAGGAGATCAAACAGGAAGCATTTGAAGTGAGAGCATTTAATTACCACCTTGCTATTGGGAAGGTGTGAACTGGCGTATTTGGGTAGGAAAGTCCACTTTGCTTTGTGCTTTGTATCATCCACTTGAGGAATGATTCTCTCCATCCCACAGTAGGGTAAAAGAATGGGAGAGGCATTAGGGAGTGACCATAGATGTAGTTAACATAACTTTGGTTGTTGTTGTTGTTGTTTGCTTCATTTTTTCAGGTCAGATATTTGTAGAGTAGCTTCATGTTCCTGCAAGTTTTCAGAACATCAGAAACACTTTGATTCAAAATCCATACTAATACCTGTGCCAGACCAAATAAGGATACTTTTTGGACTATTTCCTGTTTTAGGTTATTTTTCTGACTGCAGCTCTCAATGAAGTTAGATAATTGTGAGGAGACTATAATCTCATTTATCTGAAGCTAATCAGGACATGAAATGGGATATTTCCTTGAGCCATGAAATTCCACTGGGTCAGGCCAGGTAGGGCAACCACCATTGGAATACTCTCCCCCAGATGTCTTACAGACTTTGAATTTAAGAGAATGGATGAGTGTGTTATTTGTTGAGTGCCTACTATGTGACAAGCACAGTACAGAATGCTTGATACACATGCACTCACTCAGTCCTCAAGGCAACCCTTCAAAGTAGCTGTTATAATGCCCCATTTTATAGGGAAGGAAATAACGGCTCAGAGAAGTGAAATGGCTCATCCAGGGCCCCAGGTTAAGTAAGTGGCAGGGCCAGATTCGAACTCAGTTCTGACTCTCTCCAAAGCCTGTCTCCACCACACCATGCTGGTATCCCTTCATAGAGAGAAATTTCCTACAAACTCATGCCAAACCAGTCTGTGGGAAGGGGAAGGAAAACGAGGACGCATCTGAGGCAGCATGGATGTGGCTTTCCTGAAAGGACCAAGCCATGCAACTCCTCTTCCCAAATGGTCCCGTTGCCACTTTGGCAGAAAAGCTGCTTAGGATAATGCAGTTGGATACTGTGTTTAGGACATAGGCCCTAGAAAATGTAGCCTGGGTTGAGCAAATTTGAAATGGCCATTCCAGCCATCCCTGTGGCAGTACTGAGGGTGAGCAGAAGTTGGGGGAGTGGAGTCCCAGCTCTCACAACCGTTCCTTATACTAAATATGATGGTGCTTTGTGACTTGGCAAGGGTTGTGGTGGGCAGGGCATAGTTGCAAAGGGCTCTTTCCTTCGTTCTTCACTTACTCCCATCTTTAACCACAGAGAGCCTCCCACTAGCGATCCTACATTAGCTGGAACAGGATTCGGTACTTGAGCATTTCACCCAGTATTCCTCCATATGGAAGTCCTTCTTCTTTGGAATTTGCCTCATTGGTTGGATTGTTTCTCCCATACCCTACTCTAGACAGGCCCACAGATTCCTCGAAAAAAGGATTCTGGAAATGGGCTGCCACGTCAGTACCATTTGAACAGGTTTGCTCACTCACTTCCATTTTTCCCGAAGAGTAAAAAGAAAAAGAAAAAAATCATTCTTTCTAGCCAACTTTATTTTTAGGGAAGTATTTTATTCAAACATCGCCTTACTTATTACAGACATAAATACATGCATTCAGACAAATAAATCCACAGGAGAACCATATAAAGTAATTGGCACATCACTTCAGGATGCTTTGTCAGTTACTGGAGGAGTTTGGTGCCTCTAACTTTAATCTTTTCCATTAAAATATCCATTCTGTCTTCAGATTGTGAAGCCCACAATATTTTAGACTGTCTCCATGGATCTGTTAGTTTCGCTTGTCAGTTTAATTTGTGGCTCTATGACTTTGGGTGGCTTGTTAGATTGTACAGGGAAACGTGTGATCTGCAGATGATGTTAAACATGGCAGGCTTAGGACCTCCCCTCTCCCCAGAGAGACTGGACAGACAAGAAATATGGAACTGGCAGATTTCATGGGCAGTCAGCCTAACTGCTATTTTGATGATGGTGTATGGAATGGCAGGTGTTTAGAGCTATAAAGAAGCTCATTACTGTTGTTGTTATTATATACCTTAAATGTTTATAGTGCTTCTTACTCTTTGCCACACTTCTTATATACACCATCTCATTTGATTCTCATAGCTTCCTTGTGCTGGGTTATTATTTCTCTCTATAGCTAAGGAAACTGAGACACAGGAGAGGTACAGTTTGCCTGAGATCACAGGATAAATCTGACTGCAGAAATGCCAGCGGAAAAAAACAAATGTGTTCTAAAGTGAGCCCGGTCGCCAAAGTCCAGTCAGGAGGGTGGTGTGCGATGGTCTTTGTTCTGTGTAAGGCAGGGTGCAGAAGACACAATTGCCATTTCCCTGCCCCTTTTTGAGGAAAGAGCTCAGTAGCTGGGGGAACAGGAGAGCTAGCGGAGAGGTAAAGAGGTCCGAAGCGGAAACTTTCTCATCAGCTCCACATTTTACATGTCCCCAGGGGGATCTTCCTTAAGTGAAGATCTGAGCACGTCTCTGCTTTGCAGCAAACCCGTCTAATGGCTCCCACTACCATCAGAATGAAAGCCAGATTTCTCAGCATGGTCTTCCAGGCTGTCACTGAGGTCTCCTTCCAGCCCACCTCTCTTCTCTTCTGCCACACTGAGTTCCTTACCATTGCAGAACCCACAGTGGTAACTCCCACAGCCTCCTTTCTTGCTGCTTTCTCTGCACAGAGCACATTTATGATGAACTCCTTAAATGTTACCTTCTCTGTGGAATCTTCCCTGGCCTCTTATTGAGGACCCTCCCCCACGGTGCAGCCCAAGCACTTTGCCCAGCCCTGTTTCCTACTGTCTCTCCACCAAGAAGCATCAACCTCCTCAAAGGCGGCAGAGCTGTGGTAGATGCCTGTGTTCTCTGTGGTAGATGCCTGTGTCTCTTACCTCCCCCTAGCTGTCTTGCAGACTTTGAAGTTAAGAAAATGGATGAGCATCTGCATGTAGGAGTGAGTGAGTGAATTAGTGAATGATGAATGAATGAGAAGCCTTTAGCAGTCTGAGCCAACAGGAAACGTGGCCTTCCAAGGTCACATGGAATGTGACCCATTCCTCTCTCTCTCTCTCTGAAGAGAGAGGCTTCGGAGAGTTGTGGCCTCTCCATAACTGTGACCCTTTCTGGTGAAATGAGAAGCAGAAAGGCAGGTGAGTTGGGGCTCTGCCTGGTGACCCAGCAAAGAAAGCACATCAGGGCTGAGAGGCAAGGATTTATCCTCTTGGCCCTCTGGCCTCTGACTTCTACCCCCTCCCCCAAGGTTCTCACCAAAGCTTTTGGGTGGGGAAAACCATTCCTTGGGGAGCCAGGGGTCTTTGCCAAGGGTCCCTGCAGGCTGCATCATAGGCTGTTTGTCAAAGCTGTTTGTCCAGGAAGGGTCTTCCTGGCCATTAGCAAGATGTAGGAGTGGTAGTTGAGGTCATAAAAGGCCTGGGATTAGGGAGAAATCTGAGCCAAGGCCTCAGTGTTTTCATGTGGCTGTGTCTTCTAGATGATGTCTGTCCTCATGAACACCATCGTCTTTGAAGACTGTCGGAACCAGTGGTCAGTGTCCAGGCCTCTCCTGGTGCTCATCCTGCTCAACGAGAAGGTGAGTGTGATGGCAGGAGGGTCCATGGGAGGTGGCCATCAGGAGGAGGGAGAAAATGGTAGAGAGGATGTGTGCCAGGCCGAGGTATGACAATGAAGGAGAGAGGGGCCGAGCCAACTGAGCTTGGGCTGAGACCTTGAGAACTTCCAAGGCAAGAGTATATTTCCCAAGAAGGCCCTTCCTCAAAGGCCACAGATCTTCAGTTAAGAGAGGCTTCAAGACCAGCTCTTCTGGGTGGGTGGTTTGCTCAGTTGCTGACTCCCCTCCCCTTGTTCCAGGGGAATTCCAAGCAACAACCCTCCTGGCCTCTTCCTCTGACCTCCTTTTATAACTGGGCTTCCCACTGTCCTTAGTGGCAGCAGCAGCCCCTCAGGGATTCATCCACAGAGCCAGCACCCTTTGTCTGGGGAGTACCATCTCCAGCTTCTTAAGTGTACTCGCCACCCGGGGCTGTCTCCCAAGCCTCTCCAGCTTCCTCTTGAACCCACCCCGTCTCCCCAGCAGTCAGTAGGAACAGTGCATTACTGCTGTGGAGAATGAATTGTCTGTACAATAAGATAGTACTGGGGAGAAAGACAGTGAGATTAGAGGCAGCCGCATACATTAAAATTCAAACTGAAATCCCAGCCTTGGAAGGAAACTAATAGAAGAAGAAAATATATCAAAAAGAGAAGAGCTGTCTCATCATTCACCTGTACTGAAGTATCCAATTTTAGCCACATTCAATAGCACTGTCATTCATCTTCCCTCGGTGTTATTGTGATTTAAATCCAAGCTCTATAAAAGAGAGCAGTTCTTTTAAAATGATTGAGAGGGAATAAGGGCAAATTCAGTGTTTAGAAAAAGCTTATGACATCACAATATTATACTTTACTGATGGAGGCAATATTTCATGGTTTAGGATGAAAAACTAATAATTTTCTATTTGGTGTGAGTCAGTGCATCATTATAAAAGGGAAAAATAAGTCATTTTGTGCATTCCCGATCTTGTTCAGGAAGACAATTGTGGTTTAAGTGTAATGCCTCTGATATATAGTAGTTAAGTATTAGTCTGACTACATATTAATTATGTGTGTTTTTGATGTGAGCTGTTTTAGTATATGATAGAAATTAAATATGCTGCTTGGGCTTGGAAGAATAAACACATGACTTGCAAAATGTCTTTGTGCTGAAATTAGGCTGTTTCCAATGATTAGGAGCTATGTTTAGCGTAAGAGCTTGTGTTTGTATAGAAGCTCACAGACCCAGCAGAGACGAAGTGGCTGTGCAGTTATTTGTGACCAAGTGTGACATATTTTTCTTAGTGCCAGAAAACGTTCCCAGAAAGCTTAGTCCCCCAGCTCAGCAGAGCAGACCCATCCTGACCCACAGGACAGCGACTTGGGACACAGCCTCGAGTTGTTTGAGGAGGATTCACTGAAGCCATGGAAGAGGACGAGGCCTTGTGGGAGGGACCCTCAGCCCGGAATTCAGTTGCCCAAACCCCTCCCTGGGCGTTTTTAGTTAACTTCCTCTTTTGGCCCTTCTGTGATGAGTGGAGAGGAGTCAGGAAGAGCTTTAAGCGTTAGATCCCCACAGAGGCAAGGACTCTGTCAGCATAGGCAGTGACTGTAGAACAATTACAGCAAGAGATGTTTATGGGAAGGAGTATCACAGTTTACACCTAGGAATGTCTCTATTGCTTTGGTTTCCTCTAAGGGCTTAAAGGTCAGAGTGGACCTGGATAAAAACTCCTCTGGGAATGAATGAGTCCGGAGTAGGTCAGACCTGGTCCTACGCCCACCCCCAGCCTCACCCTGAGCTCTCTCCAAGAGCAGAATTGGGGTCAGAGCTCTGATGCTTATTCTGCCTCCCAACAGTATTTCAGTGAATTGCAGGCGAGTCTGATAAACAGCCAACCTCTCCCCAAGCGGGAGGTCCTTGCCCAGTGCTTCAGGAGTCTGATGGAAGGAGTGGAGCAGAACCTGTCTGTCAAGAACAGAGACAGGTGAGCACTGCCCAAGAGGCCCAGCATCTCTGGGAGAGGTGGACATTCCAAGTTGGGGAAATAACTGGATTGTGCTTAACAGCACTCACACATTGGCGTGGCTTTTCTACTACCCATTGCAATCCTGGACTCAGTTTAGTTGCATTTGGTAAATATTACTGGGTATTTGCTTTGTTCTGAGTGTCATGCTAGGCACTGTGCAGGGAAGCAGAGGTTAGTAAGATACAGCGTTTGTCCTTGAGCAGTTGATAATCCAACAGGAGAGGTATGAAAAATAACTACTTGAAAAGGTCAAAAGAAGAAAAGCTCAGATACGCTGCAGAGAACAAGGAAGTGTTTCCTGACATTTGAACAAGCACAGGCTTTGAGGTCAGACAGAGTTCAACTTAAATTTCATCCCTGCCCCTTATAGGCTGTGTGGCAGTGAGTAAGGCAGTTAACTTCTCTGATCCTCAGTTTCATTACCAGCAAAATGGAGATGATAATACTTCGCTATGATGCTTAAATCATAGAATAGTAAAGCATGGAACCTGGGACATATGACCCACAATAAATATTAGTTCCTCCCTCTGCTGTCCTTTAAAAGTGGCTGGCATTGTTGTTACCAGTAAGATATAAATGAGAGGAACCTGAACATATCAGCTATGCCTGAATTCATTCATTCATTTCTTCATTCATTCAGTTCACAAAACTTTATTGAGAATTTACTGTGTTCCAGGCATGGGGGATACCAGTGGTGAACTAAGTGCTTTAGGCTCCTGCCCCATGGAGCTTACACTCAAGTGGAGGAGACAGACAATAATGAATAATGGAAAAAGAAAACATGTCCAGGAAGAAAACCATCTGCATCATTCTTTTATAAAAGTGGTAGTATTCAAATGCTGCCCCATTTGAAATGCACCTCACAAGTTATCCCCAAAGCCATAGTGTATCATGGAGTCACTGGCCTGAGCTTTGATCATACAAGCCAAGTTGGAAAAGTCCTGCAGACATGTGCCCTTGACTACTTGTTTCACACCAAGGTCCTCTATCAGGCAGAGAAGGGCAAACCTAGGTGCCTCACCTGAGGCTTGGCAATTTGAGCACCCCTTCCTGAGCCACTCTGTGAAATGGGTGCCGAGCAGCCCTCCTAGGTGAAGAGTGAGCATGGCCTGAATATTCTCCACATGCCAGGCACTGTGGTGAGCATTTACAGGCATTGTCTCAGTTGAGTCAGTGAGTTTTCACTTCCTACAGTCCTTTGTGGTAGCTACTCATGGTAGGCATCAAGAGATTAAGTAATTCATCCAAGATCACCCAGCTAATAAATGGTGGAGCCAAGATTTGAACCCAGCTATTCTAGTCCCAGTGCCCCCTCCTTCTGAATCACTAAATTCACTTTTCTCTTCTGTAAAATGGGGATACCAATAATACTTTTGGGAAGGGCTGTGATAATTAAATTAAGTGCATTCTACATAAAACATAGGAGCCCTGGTGGTCCAAGAGGTCAGCGGGTCAAATGCACCAGCTGCTCCTTGGAAACCGTCTGGGGCAGTTCTACTCTGTCTGATAGGGTCGCTACAAGTCGGAATTGACTGGACGGCAGTGGGTTTGGGTTTGGGGTTTTTTGTTTTTTTTGTGTGTGTCTTGTAAAACATACAATCAATTCGGTACGTGACACATAAGCTTTGGTTCTTTTCTTTATGTTACTTACTATCTTTTTGTAATTTAAATAAAATTAAATAGTGGAACCACCCCTTGAAATGGTCAGAGTAGATATGGCGGTAACCCTTGTTTGCCAGGAGGGGAGGCAGAAGGGGAAGTGGGTGCTGGCAGCTGAGCAGTGATGACAGTAGAAGTGGAGAGGAAGGAGCTCAGCCAGGATCCAGAGCCCTTCTCCAAGAGGAGCCCTCTCCAAGGTCCTGAACTCCACAGTGGCTCCTGCCTCCCCAGGGTCAGAGTGGCTCAGCCTTGCCACATTTTCTTCTTTCCACAGATTCACCCAGAACCTGTCCGTCTTCAGAAGAGATGTCGCAGAGGCCCTGCGCTGTGACGGCAGCACTGAACCACCAGGCAGCCTGGACATGATGAGCTGACCCAGCTTCTCTGAGCATGTGCCACACAGCCTTTCTTGAGACTAGCGTAGGTCAGGGTCCCAGGACAGTGATGTTGGCTAGCCCAGGGTAATCTGTTTTTCAAAACGAACAACAGCGGCAACAAAAAGCCCTACCTTTTTATAAGTCTGGCCTAATTATAAGAATTTATGATAGTGCAAACAATGTAAATTCAGTCTTTGCTCTGAAAAAGGAAAAGACATCTTTTCCATCTTTCTAGCAGGTATCATTATCTTTGTTCTTGTATTGCTCTGAAAAGGTGTATAAATGATATTTAACCAAAGAACATAATAAACCAGGTTTGCATCTAAGTGTGTACTGGTTAATGGTTCTGCAATCAAGGCTGTGAGTTTGTTGGCAATGCAGCCTTCAGCATGGACCCTGGATTGAGACAAATGCCATCTGAACCTGTTAAACTAGTAGTTTATTATGAGTCTGGAAGCAGCAGCATTAGGGACCCTGTGCTGTGGACATTGAGAACGAGCCTGGGAGCTCTGCAAAGCATCCCACAGGACCACACACAGGCCTCGCTGCCTCAGCACCATCTGATAAAGTTGAGAGACAGTAACACAATTAAATGACTTACAAACAACGTTTGCTTTTCCCTGGCATAAATCTGAAGTGGTTCAGTCTAGAAGAATTAAGCCATGCAATCACTGCCTGCAGAGAGATTTCTTCAGAAGAAGTCACGTAGCCCTAGTAGGAGGTTTAGGGTGGTTCCAGCACCCACGCCTTCTGCCCCCATCTAATTTTAAGAGAAGCTGAAGTTACCTAATTAAAATACAATATTTGAAGCAGCTTTGCCTTCTTGGACCATCCAAAATAGTTCCTGGGCACTGAAGTTCAGAGTCATGGTGATGGGAGTGTTCAGAGGGTGAGGAACAACTGGTTTCCACCCCTCCACAACAACTCTGATGACTGTTGGGATTGTGGCAGGGGATACGATTCAGTGACTTAACCCAAATCCAACGCACAGAGCAGGCCTTTACACTTTATGATCTCCTGTAATGAGGCTATTAATTTGAGATTGCCACTGTCAAATTGTTTTGTATCTCCCTGCTTTGTCTTAATGGCCCAGGCTTGTAATAAATACCGTGCCCTTTATTTCTGATAAGACATGAAAGACTGGCCTTACTGTTGAGCAAGAAGTAAATCCACAGGTTCCTGTTATAATCTTGTTTCTCAGATTAGTGTTTCCGGAAACCTCTCTTGATACTTGAGTTTTGCAACAGGCTTGTGATATAAAAGCAGAGTCATCCAAGTTTATTTCAAAATGTTTGTCTTCCATGTGTGAACCCAGAGAATCAGGGAAAAGTGTATTATGAGGTGGAATTACTTCTGGTATCTAATGAATAAGCAAGGCTGTGGCCCTACTCACACTGTGTTTCATTAGAAAGGGGAAATGTAATTTTCTTTGAGAAGGCAAATTCTGAAGTCTAAAAAACACCAACTGTTCAGACAGGTTTGATTGAGAACTCCTATTTCTCAGGGGCTTATTTTTGTACTCATCCCACAAAAATGCTTTATAGAAGGCCTACCCCATTCTGGCACTGTTTTCTTTACAAAAGCCTAGGACCAAAAGCACCATATTGTTTTGTATTCAAGTGCTCAAAAGAAAATGACAATGTGCACTCACGTTTCTTTGCCGCACTACCAAAGGTCTCCTGGTGGTTCCCACCAGGCAGGGCAGGCCCTGTCAGCCTTGGCCTTGGAGGGCGGCTCTAGGAGGAGGACTTGCCAGGCCTACCCCACTGCTGATTCCAGGCAGGCCTGCCCCTGGGGTTGGATCAGGAAGCACACTGTGCGCAGCATGCACAGCTCGGACAGCCTCCACACAGTTACAGGCATCTACCATGCCCTCTATGTACATTATCTCCCCTATACCTCACACCAGCCCTAGGAAGGTAGACAGCATCATTCCCATTTTTCAGATGAGGAAACTAAGGCTTAAAGGTGGTATATAGTTTACAACAGGTCACAGCCTGGATTTGAACCCAGATCTGTCTCACCTCAAAGGAATTCCTCATCTCTGCCAAGCAAGACCTGTATTTCAGAATGTTGAGTTGACGCCAGTTAATCATTTCCATTTGTTTCTCAGAACTTCTTGTATTAGTTATCTATTGCTGCATAACAAATTACCCCAAACTTCGTGGCCTGAAACAACATTTAGTATCTCACGGTTTCTGTCAGTCAGAAATCTGTAGCTGGGTCCTCTGCTTCAGGGTCTCTTCACAGGCTGCCGTCAAGGTTGTGGGCTGCAGCCATCTTAAGGCTCTGCTTTCAAGCTCACCCGTGGTTACTGTTAGGAGTCAGTTTCTCACAGGCTGTTGGACTGAGAACCCCAGCTCCCCTCCCACTTCCTTACACACAGGCCTCTTCACAGGGCAGCTCACAACATGGCAGCTGGCTTCATGGTTTCATCAGAACGAGCTAAAGAGAAGAGGCAGAGAGAGTGCAGCAGTCGGAAGTCAGCTTTTCATAGCCTAATCTTGGAAGCGGCATCCCTCACCTTTGCTGTGTGCTATTAGAAGTAAATCACTAGGTCCACCCCATACATGGGGAGGTATTACACCAGGAGGCAGGGATCATTGGGAGCCATTTTCAAAGCTGTCTTTCACTACTTGTATCTGGCCTTGGCTGGAGAAGTTCGTTGTGGCTACAAGTTCTCCCTCGGAATTTGGAATGGAATCCTAACTTTCCTTTAAGGGCTAACTTCTATTCTGAGCCCTTCCAGAGGAAAGGAAAGGGAGTGGGGAGGCTGGGACATTTAAGGACCACATGGTATTATGTACTCTTCCCACATGGATGGGAACTTATCTGGGGCTGTGGGCCACCCCGCCAAACCTGTGTTGGTGATGGACAGTAGGAACTGTTGGGGGAAAAGCTGGAACCCCATGTGGGAGTCCTCTCTAGGGATATCCTAAACAAGCATTCAAGGACACACCCAAATCCATGGAAGCCACAAAAGGAATTAGTGGGATTATAAGGTATAATCATATCACAGGTGTAATTAACTCACTCAGATTCAGCAACAGGAACAAATAAATGGTGCTAGCAATTCCACAGAGCCTACCACTTAGCCAGCAGTGCCCCAGAGTGAGTATGAGATAGGACTGTGGTCCACTGAAGACTCACCCTTCTGATGGATTGTAGTGTGCAAACATGTATTCTTCACACAAGTCAATGGCTTCAGCTGATGCTCAAGCAAGAAACAATTTGAAGGTATTTAGACTTGGATCAATTTTTACCTTCAAAACCTGACTTCAGAACCTAACCTTGAGAAAGCTATATCCTGACTATGTTCAATGCTTCTGTTTTTCTATGCTTTCTAATCAGGCTTCACTAGGACAGCAAGACGAGGGAAGTTAGGGTCCCTGCCCTGTGTGTGATGATCAGAGCAGTACAGAAAAGCCCTCTTGGCCCCCTGGTCTCCCTTCCACAGGTCTAGCCAAACTAGAAGTGCCTTTGGATTATGGTTTTGGAGGTTCCTTACCAAAGGCAAAACCAGCCTGGGAGGGCCCGGCTTGTAACAATTAGCTGAGATCAGGGAGCAAATTAGCTAACTGCCAGCAGAGAGCTGAGCATGATGACAAACAGGGTAGGTTCGGTGAGAGAAATTGGAGAAAGTAAAAGATCTGGGATATGGGAGCCTTACCTAGATGTGGGCTGGTCCAGCAGTTTTGGGGAAGTAGCATTTGAGACAACTCAGTTCCTTGCAGTGAGGAGGAGAAGGGGTGCCTGAAAGAGAAGAGAGGGCAGAGTGAGAAGGGAGAAATGAACGGTTTCAAAACAAACATTAAATAATTAGAACCACTATCATTCATTGAGCACCTGCTAAGCATTGTAAATTGCTGTCTCATTTAATGATTCCCAATAAGAATGTGAAAGAAGTATTACTAGTATCCCCATTTTAGAGATGAGAAAACTGACCCAAGGCCACATAGCTATAAAACGGACACCAGAATTCAAAATCAGGTCTGCCTGAAGCCAAAACTTATATTTTTCCCCACTATATTCCTTAAAAGAGCCCTAGTGGCACAGTGGTTAAATGCTCTGCTGCTAAGCGAAAGATGAGCGGTTTGAACCCACCAACCACTCCTTGGGAGAAAAATATTGCAGTCTGTTTCCATAAAGATTGAAAACCCTATGAGGCAGCCCTACTCTGTCCCACAGGGTCACTATGAGTCAGAATCCACTTCATGGCAATGGGTAACGGGTTTTATAATCCCTTAAACAGGTACTTCACACACCTGGGCCTATAGAACAGTTGAGGGGTGTGGATGTGGAGCCCTTGGGACTCCTAGATGGGGCTAGGCACTCGCAGAGAAAGGCCCGCCCAATGTGTGAGCCCCTAAAGTGTTGTGTCTGTGGGCTCTGCCACTTATTCATCCTCCTCCCTGAACTTTATAAAATCATTCTGGAGACTTTTTAATGTTTTATTGAGGTGCAAGTTTACGATGACAGCAAACCTTTCAAACTACAGCAAGAGTAACCTGCCTCCTTGGCATATTAAAAAATAATGTTAGTGTCGGTTTTTACGTCCCATAGTTGGGATTGCTGATAAGAGCGCTTCCTTGACAAGATTCTTCTTGAGGTTTACAGAAAGCGTAATAAAATATGTAAGTTACATTTCCACAAACAAAAGCTATAACATAAGTTATTTATAAGCGTGAGATACAAACAGTATCACGATAAATAATCCATAAAAGGTACTTGCAGCATCCATCTTAATGTCATTTGCCCAACAAAAATGTTGAAACGAAGTCAAATTTAGTAGAGGTATCTGTCAGGAAGAGAGGAAAGTTGTAGAACACAAAAGGGGAAAAATGGTTGATGGGTGGGGGAGGGAAGCATCAAAGGCGTGAGATGGGGTTTAAAGTGACTGAGAGGGCCATGGCCACATCGCCTGTCCTCGGTCCCCAGAGCCTACACGTTGACCAGTCCCTGCCAACCCCACACGTACCACCATCTGCATGTCTCTTGCACACAATCTCTGCACACGCCACTGCTCACACGCCCCTCTGCATTCTCCATGCCTCTTCCCCTCCACCTTGCTGTCTTAAACCTCTGTTCTAACCCCTAGCCCTATGACCAGCCTCTCCGCCTTTTGGGCCTGCCTCAAGCCCAGGGCCTGGGCCTGACCCACACAAGGATCCTGGAAATCATGCATTCATTCATCTACCAAAGATAAAGCATTAAACAAGACTGACAAAGTCCCTGCCCTCATAGAGCCAGAGAGCAGGATAAACAAATAAGATGGGTTCAGAGGGCGACAAGCACAGTGAAGGAGATAAATATGGATAGAGAATGGGCAGAGAGGTGATCGCTGACCAGAGTCTTAAAAGATGCAGAGGCACC